GAATTTATGATGAAATATCAGACACAAGCATTACAATCTCACTGTCTAACCTTTATGTTCTCTGCTCCCTTCCCCTGTGTAGAACCAGCTCTCAGGTTACCTCCTGAGGAAGTTTAAGAACAGTAATGGCTGGCAGAAACTCTGGGTCGTCTTCACCAACTTCTGCTTGTTCTTCTACAAGACTCACCAGGTCAGCAGACCCACCCTGAGATGCATTATTTCTTCTAGAGTACAAGACATTGTACACGTATATGAGATCAAGAGGATCTGTGTTCAGAAAGCGTTTCCCGTCTCTGTTTGCAGGATGACTTCCCACTGGCTAGCCTCCCCCTGCTCGGCTACACGGTCAGCACCCCCGAGGAGTCGGACAGCATCCACAAGGAGTACGTCTTCAAACTGCAGTTTAAGTCCCATGTTTACTTTTTCCGGGCAGAAAGCGAGTACACTTTTGAAAGGTACATGACTTGTTTCTAATTCCCAGAATATTTGAGCACATTTCACAGCCTTAAAGTCCTGTAGTATAACTGCGTCTCCTGTCTCATCTTTGCAGATGGATGGAGGTGATCAAGAGTGCAGCCAGCACTACGGGCCGGATGAGCCTGCTCATACCCAAAGGAGGTCCCATGGAGATAAATGGAAACTGAATCAAACATCATGTATCTGGAGGCTGGGCCTCTAGGACATCAGAAAGACAGTCAGTCTCACTGTAATGTTCAAGTGAAGGGAACATTTGGACAATACCAACTGGAGACTGAAAGATACTGCCAGTTTAACTGTTAACATTTCTCAGCTTAAGGATTTAATTCTAATGATCTGTGCTTTTTTCTTGATTGATGATGTAAATGGTAACATTTGTTCCTGTATACAGGATATAATGAAAGGGAGGCGTGTATATTTTGATCAGTTTTTTGCATGTGTAGCGCTCATTTGGGAAGTTCATATAGACTGACAGGAAATACTGTTATATGGGACCAACTCCTACGCAAAGGGCTTCAGTTCTGGCTTTTTTTGTCTTTAGCACATGATGACTGAAGCTTTGTAGGGTACAGCTCTGTGCTATGACTGGGACGCAGATGATATGCAGTATGTGGGAAATGATGGTACAGGATAGTCGGTACTTTGAAAGAGTCAGAGAGAGGTGTGTGAGATGGAAGCGAGCAGAAGGTTAATTGGATGTTTAAGCAAGTTCTTGAGTATGGAGGAAGTTTTGAGAAATTGCTGAAATGCTGCTGTTGGGACAATGACATGCAAGCAATTTTGGTTTTTTAAACATTTGGAAAAGTGCACATTTCTGGACTAAACCTATATGAACTTTTTGTATAAGCAGTAATTGTTTTCTAAAACGCTATCTGAGGTTTTTTTTGCCTGGTATTGGAAGGAAATAAACAATGTTTCAAATGTTCAAAAGGGAGCTTCTCTGCTAAAACCTCCTGATTAGATAGGCGGCATTACGTTTGGTGCTACATTTCTCTCTTTAATATCAAATGTAATCAAATGTATTCTGTTTTTATTTTTACATAGGGATAACAACTTGAAGAAATACTGTGTAGTGTTTACTCTGTGTAAAAGTTTCAGATTTTCCTAAAAACAAACCAGAAGAACATATTTTGAAGTAATTGTACTTTGTGATGATGTATTGCTGTGTCAGACTGTTTTAGACAAATGGGAGCTGACTTGTGGGAGACGCCAATGACACTTATTGTCAGTTATTTAGTGCGCTACATGCAACCATGGTATTATTTGGTATATATTTTGTATGAAGACTGGAATCTTTACCCTGTGTGTGTGTGTGGGTGTGGGT